TGATATATGCTCTCCCGTGTATAGTCCCCCATCTTCCCATTTCCCACTTTCTCCCCTCGCTCTTCTGCGAGGAGTTATTAGCATAACAATTTGCATTACTCGTAGCAAGTAATGCAGGTAGTAAGTAATATACCTAATTCACTGAAAAACTCCATTTTTGTTCCAGATGCCATCCAAAAGCAAAAAATAAAATGGTATAAGACTTCTGGAAGAGATCATCCATATATTTGTGGTCACATATCACTAGTGTGTTGATAATACTTAGAGACAATCTGTCAGATTCAGTTCTCAGAGTTATGTGGGTCTAAATGGAATGAAACAATCTGAAGTTGAATCTAAAAAAGATGGTGTTTATCCAGAAGCCATTGGTTTTCTCTCAGCTCTTGTGTTTACTCTGGAAGGAATGACATGACCCTTAAAGAAAAAAGTCCATACCTTTGGTATCTTCCTGAATCCAAAGTAGTTGAATGGCAGATGGAAGCTGTTGGGGTCCAACCTGAAGTGAGAAGATTGGTGATAATAACTCATGCCCTTGTCATCACCTGTATATTCTACTTCAGTGCTCTTTCTTGGTGATTCCTTTGAAGTTGCAATTGATGCAAAATAGAGTGGCCTGTGAACTGACTATTACAGTAAAACGCTATTACAGTAAAATGGTACCTATATTGGTGCAGCATTGGTTGTTGGTAGGCTTCCAAATGCAATTTGAACTGTTTCTTTGGATCTTTAAATCCTTCAGTATCCTGGTTCCTGTATGTTTGTAGATCTATCTTCTGTAGGTACAAATGACCAGACCAGACTAAACCACTCATCCTAGATTGGAATGCTGCAAGGCCTGGAGAAATGCATTCTGTAGTGGTCCCTGTTGTATGGGAACACCCTGTTCTTAGAGATCTGATCATTTTGAATGCACTTTGAAGGGTAGGTAGAACAGAGGGTTGTAAAAGCCAATTTTGCCTTAGGTTGGAGCATGCTACTTTGCAGTTGAAATGGTGGCCGTAGTTGATTATATTGTTTTACTGTGGGTTACCCATATTCTTTTGTTTTAATGGCTGTAAAAAACAATCTGTTTAGCCTGTCTGTATATAAATGGGAAATACATACCTACAAATAAATAAATACTGATTTTCTGTACTGAACTACCATAAAATTTAGCTAAATCTGATTTTTATTGCATATTATTTAAATTATACCCAATCAGATCAACCTACACTCAAAACAATTAATACTTGGATCAGGTGATTTCTTTATATCTGCCTGTAAGAGTTAAGGAGATTTTATTTTGCAAAAGAAAGGCATTCTCTAATGTGAAAAACTTACAAAGATATGTGAGTGCTTCCTATTCCTTCTATTCCATCCAATATATTTTTGTTACAATTGCAAGGTTTCCTCTATACTTTGTCCCTCTATGCCTTCTTTCTTTTTTTCCTTCTGCACTTCTATGTTTCTTGGAGATTGTGAATCTATACTTCTCCCCACCTGTATTAAGGTTGCTGCTTTATTGGCAACTCTGCTGTATTGATTCTGTTGGGAGCAAGTCTCAAATGGGAAGGAAAGCAGCAAGCTCTTACACAATTTCATACCTTACAGAAATGAACAATTGAAAGAGATTTGATTTTTTTTTTTGACCAATTCAAATGTATTCAGATACTGGAGGATTTATAATAGCCTCCTGAAACTTCTAGGTAGAGAACCTGATAGTTCATCCAGGGATGGGATTCCAGCGATTCAGACCGGTTCTGTAGAACCAGTTGTTACAATTCTACGCAGTTTAGAGAACCGGCAAATTGTGTCCTGGCTGGCCTCGCCCCTCTCCTCCTGCCCAGCCTCCCCTCCCAGTCAGTCCATATCGTGCATGTGCAACATCGCTGACTGCATTCTCCCCCAAACCTATGCATTTATGATTGCGTATTCATAGCAACTCTAGCTGGAAATAATTATAGAGTGATTTAGCAGTCAATAAAAAGTGGTTGATTCTGATCTTAATGACTCAAGACAAAAAAAAGATTCAGAAGGATGAATAATTTGTTGACATGAGTAGCTGCTTGCATTGCTTTCCTGTAACTTTTCCATCAATCTGTCTAATTGTTTAAAATGAACACATATGCATTGTCTTATATCATTACTGGCTACCGGTCATAATCCTTCTACCTTGATATTATTCTTGAAATCAGAATATGTATTTATGCTATTAGTTAATTTAAAAAAGATTGGGTTCACAGCTAGTTGATCCTGAATATCAAGTCGTGAGTCAATGGAGAGTTGTGGATATTCTCTATTTACTTAGGGGGGGATAATGCTAAATCTGAAAGTTCCCTGGATTTTTACCAAATTCAGTGAGATGTTCAGGTTGTATTTAGAAATTCCTCCCCAGGCATCTATTCATTTATCTGTTTTGAATAGTATGCTTGTAGATATAACTATGGTAAGAAAAAAAAGTCTGCTACCAATTTTGGAAATATAGCTGAATGCCTCCTTCAATATATTCATCTGCCTTCAATGGATACTCATTTTCAGTAGAAAAATCTACCCTTTGCTGTCTCAGCTTTTTGTTGTAGACTATTTGCCCTTGCTTACTGTTGACAAGGTCACCCAATTCGCACATACACTATGCCATAATGTGACTGACTTGTTTTTGGCTGAGAATAATATTAGAACAAGATAACCAAATAAATATTGTTTATTTTAGGCTAATACAGGTAGTCCTATGTTAAGTGAGTTTTGCCCCATTCTGCGACCTTTCTTGCCACTGCTGTTAAGTAAATCTCAACCTTAAGCAGTTATTAAGTTAGTGGCGTAGTTGTAGAGTGAATCCAGCTTCCTCATTGATTTTACATGTCAGAAAGTCACAAAGGGTGATCACATGACCCGGGACATTACAACCTCATAAATACGAGCCAGTTGCCAAGTGTCCAAAATTTGGTCACACGACTATGAGGATGCTGCGACTGTCATAACTCTGAAAAATGGCCATAGGTCTCTATTTTCAGTGCAGTTCTAAAAGTCACTAAATGAGTGGTTAGTGGAAGGAGGACTGCCTGTAAATCATAATTTGAAACAATGCTTTCTTCTTGTCTTACTGATTGCAGTACTTAGCATATAGCATATAAGAAGTTGCATGGTTTGTTTGGAGTTTCCTGGCATAATCCTGATTTGATTTTGTTCCTTTCCTAAATATCTGGCCCAAAAGGTAGGCAAACAAACTAAGAACTGGTCGAAGAAACATATCCTACAGATACTTTTTCTTATTTATAATGCTAACCCTAGCGTGTTTCTGGCTTCTTCAAGAGTTTATGATTAAAGCAGCCATAACTTCTTTAATCAAAATAGGTTGACTGATGATATGTCAACATACTGAATCGTACTTGTAATTAACAATAAAACATTACACTTCTGTTTCTGCAGCTTTAGTCTTACTGTTCTCTTACTGTTATCTTATTTCTTCCTCTAGCAGTTCTTGCACCAAAACCAGTTAATCTTGTTTTTCATCTATTTTGCATTATTGAAACCACATGTCTTTGTACTATAGTTGAAACATGTAACTTCAGAGTCTTCTTCTGATGGAAGTCTTGCCTACTGTAGTCTTGTTCCTCATTTATTAGTTTTAATTTTTTATCTGAATTCAAATATACCTTTGTCAGGAAGAATAACCAAGAATAATATTTATTTCTTGTGCAATGGATAGCATAAGTATAGATATTTGCATGCATAGCTATCTTACTAAGATTACGGTATGCATGTAAACCACAGAAACAGAGTATGAAGCAATAAACAATGAAATTAAAGGCATGAGACAAGAAAAAGTAAATGAAGTACAGTTATATCTAATTTATGTCCATACCATTGGCTATAGTTTTCTATACTTTTCTAACCTTGCACACCATTCTTGTTTCAACTACATCCATATTCCAATTCATGTAAAATTTCAGCGCGCCCTCCTTTTTTGTTAATTATCTAATCACCTCCATTCTCTCTCATTCCTCTCAAACCATTCCCTTATCCATTCTATGTGGCCACACCTTTTTATGCACTATTTTTGCACTGGTCACTTATATCAACACAGCATGCCTTATACATTTTTCCATGAATATATTAAACCAGGGATCCCCAACCCCCAGTCCATGGACCGGCACCAGGCCACAGCATGCCAGCAACCATGCCATGCAAACAAGCGAAGCCCCATCTGTGGGATGCAGGCAGCATGCAAAACCACACCTACTTTGGTCCAAGGAAAAATCTCCACGGAACTAATCCCTGGTGCCCAAAAGGTTGGGGTCCACTGCATTCAACAGCCAATGACAGACTTCTCTGTGTTCTGCTGTTGCATATCTAAAACTTTTCCAATGCAGAGAAATTTCACAGATATACAGGGCCAATAAGTTTCATGGCAGATGAATTAAGTGAGAAAATAATTCCATGAAGATAATGTATCTGTATTAAGCCTATGACCAGAAGACCTCCAATATTCCTTCCAACCTTATGAGTCTATACGATTGGGATAAAATTAAAATGAAGGAATGTTGAAAGCAAATTTGCAATGGGAGTGGCAATGTTTATCTTCCTGTAGTCATTCTGCTTTGGTCTAATTTTTTTTTATACTTGTTTCTGTTTCTTTCATTTCCCCCTCCAGAGCTCCATTATCTTGTAGTTTTCATTAATCCTATCCATCTTTCATCATAAATAATCAAATCAATATTGCTTATAAATATCTATTCATTATATTGAGGTTGACTAGTGCATTTGTATACTTAACTATACTCAGATAGTCCTCAACTTATGACCACAATTGTGACCAGAATTTCAGCTGCTATGCAGTGCAGTTAAGTGAATTGTTTTATAACTGGACCCCATTTTTTTTCCCATTTTTGCCGCAGTCATTTAGTGAGTCACATAGTTTTTACGTGAATATAAAGCACACAGCCATAGAATAGGTTATTTGAGTAGAAAATTGGCCAGGTTTATGTTCCATTTGCTTATCTCCTTTTTATTTGTTCCTTCAGCATCAAAGCCATCGAAAGCCCTAACAAAGATGATGATACACAGTGGCTGACCTACTGGGTTGTGTATGGAATCTTCAGCATAGCAGAATTTTTCTCTGACATCTTTCTGTCTTGGTTCCCATTCTACTTTTTGATGAAGGTTTGTGGTCTTCTGCTCCCCATATGCATATACCTCTCTCAAGAAACATGCATCACAATGTGAAATATAAGCTTGGATGGTGGAATGACTATAATGAAATGTAGCTTAATCTTAGCTTATAAAGTAATTCTAATTTATACAATGAACTTGTATGATGAACTACAATGATCTCCAAATGTGATTTAGTTTTCAAACTTATCAAGTCTTGGTTCTTATAAGAAAATGCTTCTTAAACCAAAACTTATTGGCTGGACTAGTGACAGTATCCAAGCAATAAGGGGATAACAGCATTTCTTCATTCATAAAAAAATAAATTTCAGTATCATACATTCATGCAAACTTCCATTTGCTTTTAAACATCTCTTTTTCAAAAGTTAGTATTAGTGTGCTTTGTAGTTGCATTTATATCAAACAGTATTGGGACAATTTCAAAATTACAGGTAATCCTTTAAGCAGCCAGATCATGATCACATGACTGCAGAAGGGGGTGCAACATTTTGCATTGTCTAGAAGTGCTTTACACCATTGGTCCTCAACTCTCAAGCCACAAACCAGTACCGGTCCATGGCCTGTTAGGCACTGGGCCATGCAATTGGTACGCGAAAGAGTGAAACTTCATCTGTACATCTAGGTTGCGCATAAAACCATCCCCCTTTAGGCCATAGAAGACTATTTTTCTTCCGAAATCAATCCCTGGTGACAGAAAAATTGGGGACCACTGCTTTACAGGCCGTTTTTTTCTTAAACCTAAGATATGCCCCAGTATTGGAAAAAGCATGAAATTTTTCATTATTTCTCTCTATCAGTTTTGAAAAACGTATTTGTAAACTTTCTATTTGGGGAAACATGCATGAATCTAATTTTGCTACCTTTTGTTTAGAGGATTTTATTCTCCTAATTATGTACATACCTGGAAGAAGCCAGTTCAAACTACTTTTATATTATTGCCAAGAAATCACACAGCTGTGTCCATCAAGTCACAAGAAATGAAACCTGATTTGAAGGAGAAATTATTTTATTTTAAATTTATTTTTATTAATAGATGTGTCATAAGCAAGGCACATTGATTTCCTAAATCTTTCTTCTCATATTCTAATGCATAAGGAGATGCAAGGATAACGTTCAGGAATTTCTGCTGTTGAATTTCTGTGAATAAACTCAGATAGTATATTCCACCAGCTATGGAGAATTACTTCGTGCCCTAGGATTAGAGATTAGTGGAAAAACTAATCACACTAAGTGTTCCTTTATTTCCAGTTTATGAATTGATGAAGATCTAAGAGTTTTAGACTGGATAAGTTTTAGACTGGATACCGATTTTTTTTTAAAAAAAAACAAGTACAATATATTTACCTGCAATATACTTAATGTCTTTTGCAGGGGTTTGTGAGACCCATAAAATATTTGTATCGCTTTATTGTCCAAAATTATTCACATTGTTATAGTTTCCGTGCAAAATATTATCTTCATATGACAGATGAGATGAGGAAGCAATGCTAAAGCTAATGGATTTATCATACTGAGAATTTTGGTCTAGGAAGCTGCAGCATTAGGATTATAATATTTAAATACTGCTGGTCACTGCATCCCAGTCTGTTTCTTATTTGCTCTTTCTGTTTGTACAGTGTGGCTTTCTGGTGTGGTGTATGGCCCCAAGTCCCTCAAATGGAGCAGAGTTCCTTTATCACAAAATTATCCGCCCTTTCTTCTTGAGGCATGAGGCTCAGCTGGACAATGTAATGAAGGAGTTTAAAGAAAAGGCTGGAGAGACAACAGACACCATTACCAAGGAAGGTAAGCTGAGGCCAGCAAGGCCAATTTCAAACAAGTCTATTTTGTAGATAATTATACATTAATACATTGCTTTTAGTTAAGTTAATCGGGAAAAAAAACCACCAATTTACAGCGAGATTTGCTGTGAGGAAGTGTGTCTGTTTCTGAACTATGTGAGTGCAGAATTTATTATATATTTTGAAAAACTCAGTGGTCATTTTTCAAGATAAGTCTCCATACCAGCCTTTCTGAAAGTGCTATTTCTCCAAATGTATATGATTTCATTCACATAGGCTGGGCATTCTAAGAAATTTATTTCAGAAACTCTAGGTTGAGAAAGGCTGATCTATTAGGTCTGCAGCAATGAGCTATAGACTTTATGGACATGAAATTTCAGAAGAAAGTAGAATTGTCATGGAGGAAGATTGTGATACTTATGTATTCATTTTCCCAAATGATAGCAGCCAAAATAAGTAATTAAGTATATTAATTAAATATGCAGATATATTTATCTTATGTAATTTATACTGATTACACCATGTTGAGTACTTGTAAGTTGTTTAATAATGCAGTACAAAATTATGTATTAAGGAGTGGAATAATTCCATTTTAGTTAGACATGGAGTATGTTGACTACTCCATTCCACTCCCTCTTTTCATTATTTCTATTCCTAGTTCTTTATTACTATGTGTAAATGTTGATGTTGTTCCATAAGAGTTGAACATAATTTGGTGTTTCTACTCATATAAATGTAACAATAATTTTGAGTTACCTTGTTATAATACTGTTAAAAATAATGGATTTCTTTCCTTCTTTTAGTTAAAAAAGCTGCAATAAATTTACTGGGTGATGAGAAGAAGAGCACCTAAAGCAATTAACTGGAAGAAATTTCTCCTTATCACTACCTTTATACAGTGTGATGTTTCTGGGGACTGTGATACAGTAATTTGAATAATGTTGCCTTGTAAACCTTTTTGAGTTTATTAAAAGAATGTATTGTAAGATTGCTTGCTGTTTTTGCAGTTTTCTGTATTGAAAGTAAGCATTTTTATTTAATGTCACTGCAGTAGATGGCATCTAAAGCTTATACAGTTTCTAAGCAGAAAGAAGATTTTCAGTAATATCTTATTTGCCTTTCATGTAATTTTCAAAAATATGCCCCAGGCGCTGAATCCATTTGTGCATGCAGCAACTGTATGTACAAAATTCATTTCATATTCAACTCATTCTTGCTATAGCATAGTTTAATATCAGTGTAATGATAGTAATTTGGTGTGCGTAATTTTGTATAAATACAAGGAATAATAATTAATTAGCCATGTGTGTTGCTGTGTAGCTTTTTTCACACAGGCCTTCTCCAATTCTTATAATGTTGCAAGAATAAAGAGAGGTGACAGTGCTGGAAACTGATTTTCTGCTTGCAGTACAGATTGGTTGTAACTTATATCTGGTTTATTATGTGTATATTGACTTAGCCATTCTCTTTAAACACCGAAAAATGAACCCTTTGCCCAAAGTTATTGAACATCATCATATTGGAAAGTCTGATAGCACTTTTTCTGACTAACATATTTTATTAAAAGGCTAAGCTTTCTTGAGCTGTGGCTCACCTAATTAGATGTAGAAAACACAGCTCATAAAAAGTCTGTGCTTTTTAAAATCTGCTGTTCAAAAACAGGTGCTACAAGAATACTGAATTTTTGCTAATGCATAGGCTGGCTCTCCTCCTACAATATTACCTGAGTGATGTAATCAAACAACTGGCATTAAAGCAAAGAAAAGAAATTTTCCTCTTCCCCATTGGCACTCTATTCTGGTTCACTGAACTTCAATCCTGTAATGGGCTTTTATAGTGATGGTGTTTCATGTGAGCAATCCCAGATGATGCTTGCTCAGTTTCTAAAATAAATGTTTAAAAAGGACTCTATTGTGTTCTTCTATGTGTTTTAGTTTATGGCACCATTAGATTTTACTTGGTTCTTGAATGCTATTCACTCTATAGAATTCCTATGGTTTTCAGCTTTATTTTTAATTTAAAAACATACAGCAGCAAGATGAGGGAACAATGTGTGCTTATGAAAGCAAGTAAGTGGGCAGTCACATCTCATATACAAACTTTTCTTTTTCTCAAATGCACTGGCCTAGTTGCCACAAAAAGCTGAAGCAGAGTTCTTTACTATTGGCTACATAGAAATTTGCCATTCAACTGTTAGATAAACCAGGCAAAAACAGTTTAATAAACCATTATTAAAACCCTGATCTAACATTTGCAAATGTACCTAGTATGGCTAAAGTGGATTTGTTTAAAAGTGGATTTTATAGTCTACTATTTAACAATTAATGATTTTAGTGATGTTTCAAAATGTGTTTCTTCAGCAAAGGTACTGTGATGATGTGTTTGAATCCCTTCTCTGTAGGAAGGATGATGATCCATCCCACAGATAGTAAGAAATATTGAGTGAAACATTAAACCAGGGGTCTCCAACCTTAGCAATTTTAAGACTTGTGGACTTCAACTCCCTGAGTTCCTCAGCCAGCAAATCTTAAAGTTTAATTGCATTAAACTACCCGTGCTAATATCCATCACCATAATCTAGTAGGAATTAATTTTCCCACTAACTTTGGGAATTTCCCAATATTGCAAATAGCACAGAATCTCAACACAGATTTCAAAAGAAAGGGATTTAAAAATAAAATCATTTAAATTCTAGAGATGTAGTAAAGAACAAAAGGGGGGGTGTCTCTCAGAAATAGTAATCTCTAATAAAAAAAAATTATTCAAACTCAACGTCCAACTGTCTTCATAGAAATATGCATGTAATTTTATTGGCAACAATATAGAAGTGGTTTGCTGATGTCGCTTTGTAGATATTGTTAATTTCCCAACCTAAATTGCAACTCTTAGATTCCTGATATCATCCTAAGCAGGCCTAATTCTGCTAATCGAGTTGAACAGCTAGGTTGCTGCTCCGTAGCTGCACACACCATCTTACTGAAACCTAAATCCCATTAGTATAAATAACAAGCACACAAAATGTGGTCTATATACTTCACTATGTAAAGTGAGATAATATAGATCACTAAACCGAATGATATATTGTATTGTTGCCAAAAACTATTTTTGCTACATATACTTCTTTATTAAGTTCCTTCTGGAAAAATCCACATCATGCCTGCAATCATCTGGAAAGTAAAGATAGAAGTGTGCAAATCAAACCAGGCCAGGTGGGACGTTTTCCCATTTGGAACTGCACTAATGTTAATTTGCATGGGACTAAGAAAACATCAACATATTACCTAGGGAAGAGGTTTATACACTTGACCTTTTATTTCGTAATTTTATGCCCTTGGAATAATTTCAGTGTAAGGGAATATTATTGAATAGCTGAAATGGATACAGAAAGATGTGGAGAATGATATAAATTAAAATTAACATCAGTGTTGGGATTCCAGCTATTACCCTAATTAAATCATGAGCCGTGAGGCATTTAAAAAGCTTCAAAGAATTCATTAGGAGCGACATATTGGCATGACCTATATGTAGCTGATTCTGAGACACGTAATTCACTGTCACCCTTGACCCTAGTTTCCCCCCACCCCTCTGGGTGTATCATAATTCATATTCTCCAATGAAACATCCATATTCTCCAATGAAACATGTCCATAGCCAAGAGTCATCAATCATATTGCCCAATTAGAGATTTGTGCGGTAGAAACTCCAGTCAGTTAATACAATCTTTGCAAGGTATGCATGGAATGCACTTTCGCTTCCAAACTGCTGCATTGCTCTTTCAAACTCCTCCCCACTTTCTGTTGGCAGCTATAAAACAGCATAGAAAATGCTTTATAAGTTGACAGTCAGCACCATAAAAGTGAGTCTCCATTAATTGCTGATGCAAATATCTTCACAATTATAAGCTACAGTAAAAATAAGTCTTCTCTTTCATCCCCCTAAACTAAATCTTGAGGAAGTGCTGAAGCTAAAAATATATGATCTTAACAGTTTTGAGTTTGGTGAAAGAAAAATCACTACTTTTCACATGAAGAAAGAAATATTGCCCTCAAAATAAATTTCCACTATATATTATAGATAGAAATGTGTCATAGACTTTCCCATATCCTATTATTTATATTAACTATATGAAACATTGATGGTACATCTTTCTGTTTCAATTTAGAAATGCTGATTATCTTGAATAATGTTATGGTAGATTTTTTTTAAAAAAGTGTAAGTAAAAATAAGAACTAAACAGAACCCACAAAATTTAAAAATACATAATTATTATACATACAATGCTGGACCAAGCCTGGGTCTATGGACTTTTCAACTATTGTTACCAATGTTTTCTTTTAAAAAGTATTTTAGACAATCTTAGGTATTTTGGCTCATGAAATACAGCTGTTGTAACTCTCCTAGGCATGACATTTTATCCACCTCCATTGAAAAATGATATAACTGGAAACACTGCTTAGCAATAAAAACATTCTAAACAGTTTAATTCAAACGTATGTTTATTGTAATAAAGAAAAATTGTTTCATAAGCCCAAGTTCACAGTGACAATGTGTTTCATTGTAAAATTATCAAGTGAAAATGTATCCAAGGCAAAAACAAATAGCTTTGCACTCATTTGTCGATATAGTTCAATACATTAAAACGTTCTTTTTCTATATATTTTAAAAACTAGAGGAGAATTTTCTGGATATGTTCCCAAATGGTTCAACCATAATTTTATGCAAAATGAAACTCATTCTAATTCAAAACTACCACAAAATAGCTTTGCATGTTCTCATTGGTCTGTCGAACTGTCATTTGAAGTCATTATTCTTCTGTAACCATTTGAACATGTAGCATTAGTCCATGTCACATTCATTTCTTCTTTTTTCCTTTATTTTTTTTGCCACCTTCTCCTTGCTGTAGACTTTGGTCACTGCCTCCCATTTTCTGTGTCCTTGTTTTCAGTTTGGGAATTGTTTCTGCTGCATATAACATCACTGCCTTACCTAAATAGAGAAAAGAAAAAATTTCATCCAGAAGAGGGTAACTAGGAATTACCCACCATTTGCACTTCATAATGTGCAGCTTTTGCTTCCATCTATAAATGAACAAAAGGAACAAACCAGTCTTGTGCATATTTATAACACTCACGTGTTGGAAACTGAGGCTGACATAGATTACCATCTTCCTGCTTCAGCTGAATGCGAACTCTACCCCTATATTGCGCATCACGGTTCCATTCCCTGGAATACATTTTGTTTTTCTAATACATGGAGAAAAAAAATCAAAACATTACAAGCAAGCATAAGCAAAATAAAAATGCTTATAATTATAACTCTACTTTGGGAGCAAGAACCATTAAATTAACAGTCCTAATAGTTACAAAGGAATAACTAATATAGGGCTGAACTGTTTATTTTAATAGTTAATGGTATTACCTTAGTAATTCAAAGGAAAGCTCTGTAAGAAAGGCTACTTGACACCATGAAACAATTTGAAAGTTCTACTATTAAAGGGTTTTTTTATGCCAAGGATTTCAAAGAAGGATTTTCCAGCTCATTATCTTAATTATAGTATGCCAGTATAAGCATTTCAGATATATAACTCTCCAGAGTGTTGTTAATGCTCTATTAGAAGAATGTGTTCTGTAATCCCTAACCTTTTCCCTTTATAACATTGTCCTCTGTAAGGTCTGCTGCTTTCATTACTCAAAGGAAGGGAAGGACATTTGTCACAATATTACTTCCGTGAGTTTGACTCTTCTTACTCCTTCCCCTTTATCACCAATTGTGGAATTATAGTTTTGGTTAAGTGTACAGTAGGAAACAACAAAAAAATTACCTCCAAAAGCACATTAAGACCAACTGCTGCACAAACATCTTGGATTTCTGTAGATGTAGGATTTTCAATAGCCTACACAAAAAGAAAAAAAAACCCACACCACGCCAGATATTTTTTAGCATCTTTGATTCCTTGCCACCAATTAAGCTGTGGTGCGCACAGATCAGTTGTTATCAGCTAATACTACAGAATTTGGAGCCTTCAGCTTTTTATTACAATAGCATTAAAATGATTGTGTGCATCTTACCCATTACAGGAAAAAGAAAAAAACAATTCCTAAAATATATTGAGGAACAATTGACTGAAACAACAAAAATAAATAAAAGATAATAAAATGGAAGTATGGCCCATAATGTATATAAATTAATGTGAACATGCACAGCTTTAAATTTTGCAAGCCATATGCCAACTTTAAAAATTGGCACTGACAACCCTTGCCAATTAGTTACCTGATACCAAAAGAAAAAAAAAAGCAAAGAAATTTTCATATAACAAAAATGTTAGTTAACCATGGAGTAATTATAACTTGCAACTGAACTTTTTAATGTTCCTATAAACAAATCACTCAACCAAGTATTTTTATATATGCAAGACATAAGTATGTAGTGGCAAAACTAACACTGTGGGTCAATGAATATATACAGTGAGAAATGCATTATTTAAAGCAAATACAGATACACCTTAGTATCTGATTAATAACGCTCCATGAAATAACTTGATACCGATATCACACAAATATTTTATTCTGCATGGTTTCCAAATTATGTATTTGATGCACAGATTTTCTTTCCTCCCATCACCCACAATTACTTTGTCAAGAGGTATTCTTCTTCCTTCTGCTATTGTCTTCTTGTTATTTATGTAGGCTGGATATATACAGATAAACCTAAAGCAAGAAACAAGAATTGAAAGCTGTTAGGAAACATAAGAGAATATTTCTTCATATTCAAATATTCTTCCAAATATGATGTATGCAGCTCCCAAAGTAAAGATATCTACTATGGCTAAGAAGTCAGTGAAAGGGCTTATTTTTATATTTATAAAGTTTAACTAAACAATTACAATGGGTACTTGTTTCAAAGACA